TTTTCAAACATTATCAAGAACATGGAAAAATTTAATTCAATCTTCTCTTTCTAGCTTCCACATTATTATTTAACAGTTAAGCCCCTCATCTATTTTAACCTCCCACCTTCCAAAAATGGATTTATCTTCTGACAAGATTGCTAATATATATTTTTAAATTAATTGGTCATTGATGCTTTTATTATTTTCATTCCCTCCTCTGTGGTTGATTTTCTTCTTACTAAAATGTATTCTTTTAAAGTTCTCTCAGTGTGTCTGTAGTATAAATGCCTTATCTTTCGTGTCTGAAAAAAATCTTCATGTTGCCATCATCCTTACATGGTAATTTGGCTGGGCATAGAAATCCATGCAAAAAATCATTTTCCCTAAACCTTTTAAAGACATTAATCTACTACCTTTTGAGAATAAGTGTCACCCATTTGTAAGTAATCTGTTTTTTCTGTTTGCATTTAAGATTTTATCTTTATCATTGATGTTATGCAGCTTCAGTACTATGTGTCTTCATGGGGACTTGTGTGTTTATGATACCTGAATTCATCACTATGCCTTCACAAATTTTGGATTTGAGTGTTCAGACCTTATTATTTTGAATACTTCCCCTCTCCATTTTTTTCTCTGTATGAAACTCCACTGTGTATAGTGAACTTTTTCAATTCACCCTCCATATTTCTTTAATGATCTCTCGTTTTTTTATCCATTCATTTCTCTATTCCCCATTTTGGGTTTTTCCACAAATGAACCTTCTACATCACTAAGCTTCTCTTCAGCTCTGTCTAGACCTATCCATATAGTTTTGATTTTTTAATCAACTATGTTGTTAATTTATAGAAATTGTTTGTTTTTGTGTTTTTTAAATGTACCTGTCTTTTTATTCAGCCTGGGAAAGGCTGTCTAATACTGGAGTTCTGGAATAAAGGGATTATTGTTGTCCTACACTTAAACTTTTTCCTCCAATTAATATCATTAATAAGGTCATAGTTTTAATCTCCTATTTCACTCCTTAATTAGGTCCCAGTATATTTTTTAATAAAATGAATTACATCTAGAAAGCATGGAAGAATATAGGAGTCTTAAACACAAATGTCTTCAGGAAACAATGCAAATAGCATAAGGAAGTGGAGCTAACCATTGGAAACTACATCAGATTGGGGAGAAAATGGCCAGTATAAAGCAAATAGCTGCTACTCAGCTGCAGCCAATTTTTGCCATGTGGCATGTAAACCTACAGTTGCCAGATTTTCTTTTTCAAGAGAATTCAAATATCTTGTTTTTTTGCTATGAACTCTCTCCAAATCTCAGCATGAAACGAATTCTTAGAATGTTTCTGGTGACCATAAAACATGTCTTTTGGCCAAATTTCAAGCAACGATTTGGGGATCAGACATCTTGATTGAGATTTTAGCTTTTGGAAAACAATTTACTTAACTTGTCTAAGCATTAGTTTCCATATCTGTAAAATGGAGACCATGAACTGTTATGATAATTAAATGAGGAAAAGATGGTAATGCGTCTTAAACAGTACTTAATACATAGTAGTAGTCATTTAATAAAGTTCAAGAGCTGAATAAAGTTCTTGAGGATTGTGGATATTAAACTGTAATCCCCAGTATCCAATCCAGAGTGGTACTTATTAGTAGTATTTATTAGTGGAACCTACTAATAATTCAAAAACTGTTAGGTGAATGAATGATTACTGTTAGTTGAATAAGTTTTAGTTTACAAAATTGATTGCATTCCACATGTATTTAATATATAGTACTATAGAGTTAGCTGATAATTTTCATAGGGTTTATGAAATTATTGTAAAACATGAGTAGCTATGAATCAGTTCACTAAACTTGCTAAGCTAGTCACTGAAAAATAGTTAGACAAAATTATACATTGCAGAAAGTATTTAGATCTCAGTAGTTTTATTTACTAGTATCCTTTAATTACAAGTATGTATGAAGTAGTTTACGTGTACAAAGATTCCAGGATCTAGATTCTCAAAAGAGAGGACAGAGAGAGAAACAAAATTGACATTGTAGACCATTTCCCTGGTTCAAAGGGGCTCATGGTTTGGTGAAAGAGAAAATAGTACACATATAATACAAAGGGAAAAAAAGAAAAATATGTTTAGGGGGAAGAAGAGGGTTGGTTAAGGCACAAATCATAGATAAACACCTCAAAGTCTCCAAATAATGCACTGGTTTTCTGAAAAGTGCCCTTTTAAGTCCTCCTCCATGTGCATGGTTGTTGGAAACATACACTAACTAAATCTCAAGGCTGAGGAATAAGCTGCTGTTAGGGGAGTCTTTTAAATCCTATCTTAACTTCATGGCTGAAGGTCATGGTTCTAAACCTGTTCTAGGCTTAGAATTCAGGAATATTTGGAGGCTCATTTATTTTCTTAGTTTGGCTCTATTTTGAATTGCTGTTCATTTGTGTTAGAGTAAAAGAAGCACATTTTAGGTTTAGTTCTGGATTCAGTAAAATTTTGAAGTTCAATGTCAAGTTCTACCATTTCTTCACATGTTTAGGTATGTATTTGGGTAAATTTAAAAATGAGAACCCTGAGATGAGCCAGGGCTCTCCCCAGATGGTCTAGTCTTCTCAGAACTAGGCCACTCTCCTAGATTCTCTTGGCGTGTGGCTTTGCTGAATACCCTGAGAGGAATTTGGGCACTATCAGCATGCCTTCTCTAGTAGCAAGAAACTAAATTAATAAATTTTACTTTGTGAAAGGTCTATATAATTTTCTTAATTTATTAAAATTAGTTTGAATAGTTTCATTTCTCATTCAAAACTTTGGCCCAAAATATATGTAATTGCCAACAATTTCATAATGTAGATGGCTAAATGAAAATAAGAAATAAATACATTTTCTCCACCCCATAGCTATTCTCCTATGTGTTGAGCTTCCATCTGTTTGCCTTTTGTTTTTGTTTATGTGAAGCTTTACATTTTGCCATCAATATGTTATGTTGTGTTGTGTTAACTTGTAAGCTGAGACAAAGATAATAAATTACACATTTTCACTGACATTTAGTTGACTGACTACTAAAATCTAATTTGAAAACTCAGCAAGGATGTAATAGATTTAATAGATTGCATTAAAAGTATTTTCTGAGGACAAACTCCTACAAGGCAAGAACTGGTAATTTCTTAAAGGACAAAGACCTAAATGATGGATGTCTGTGTCATAAGCAAGAAGTGAGTATACTCATGGTATAAGAAGTCCAACTTCCAGAGACTTAGTCCCATCATTGCCTTTCATTCTACTCTCTATGGAAAATGCCTCCAACTGATGATTCTCTAAGTATTTGAGCTAGTCGAAGGGTTTCCAATATCTTTACTTTAAAGTGGGCTATAAGAGGAGGAAATGATGCAAAGAGCTGGTAACACATAAAGAATGAAGGTTTACGCATACAATGACAAGCAGATTCTCATGTTTTAGAGATTTATACAAGAGGTAACTAATTCTCTATATAAATATTTTTATAGAGTGTAGCAGGTAACAGACATAGTTTATCGTGGTTTTATTATTTGCCATACTCATAGAGATACATCGTCATCTTCTTCAGGCTCTTTATCAGCATGGATTTGTTCTGCAGCTTTAAGACTAGTTATGGGCCATTTTAAGGCCAGATTTTTTAAAAAATGTTTAACCCTACTGTAGCCAAGGAATGATATTATCAAAGTAGTGTCATTGCCTTCAACAAAAGAATGCACAGTGCAGCCTAGAAAGGCTTCCCAGAGCGGATGGCACCTGTCACCTCATCTAAGTTTTTCCACCTGTTCAATTACAAGGTCTCCCCCACCCCTTTTTCATTTTTTGTTTTTTTCTATTTTTCCCCATATTTCAAATATTTTTTTGAATGCTAAGTATATTGTATTCAGTAAGTAAAAATCAGTTTATGATTTCATGGTATCTTCATTAATAATCATATAGAGAGAGACATCTTCTGTGATTCTGATCATTGCACTGCACTGGACTATTGCAATTCCAGCCAAAGTGTCAATTTAGCCCTCTTAAACCATCTTAAATTTTATATATATCCAATTTTTATTTGACCTTAAATATATATGCACTGTGTGTTAAATATAGTCTTACAAACCATTTTTGTAGACCCTCTAAGCAATACTGATTCCAAGTTACTTTAGATCTAATTCAGATTCACAGGGTCCCTTAGCAGTTGTGTATAAAGGACACTTTTCTCCAGGGAAAAGAATCTGCAAAAGGGAATAATACTTAGGGAAAAATTTATATATATGTGCTGAAACCATACATATATACATGTCAAAAACAACAAAAATCTATGAGTAATCTAAAAACAGTATCAGGACACCAAAAATTGGCTATGATTTTAAAACATTTTACAACAATCAAACAAAAAATGTCTAGAAAGGGTTAGGACTCACAATGATCAGCTAATGAAATTCAATGCTTTTGACCACTCCACACAAAGAGGTTTGGATATTATTTTTCACCAAGAAAATAAACACTTGTCTTTGGACTGACTCCCATGTGGCAGAACCAGAGCAAGGCATTTACTGCTATTCTGCAGCTCTTTGAAAAATCAATCTGAAAGAGAAACTCTGTAGAAGACCCATCTTCTTCGTGTTTCTCTGATATGTTGCACTCTTAAAATGAACTAAAGTAAAAGAAGAAAATGAAAGAGGCACACAGAGTAGCAAAGACAAATGATGGAGAAAGCAAAACCAATGCTTCCAAACATCAAATCAGAATGTTGCTCTTGTCCTGGAATTCCCCTAGAGTTACTTAGGACAAAAATCTGGTCCACCGAGATCAAAGCCAGGAAGAACAAAGAAAGTCAGAGTGATAAACAGCCTACTAGGAAGAAATCCCAAACAAACCCTGACAGTTTGTGGAATGACTGGAATAAAAATCAGCTGTTCAAACTAATCTCTCATTTCGTCCATCAAAATAAAGATGGAGCTTTCTGTGTCCCTGACAAAAGCTGGGCACCCTGAGCCTGAGCACTTTTCTAAAGTGAGAGAACTGTAATTTTTTAAACTTATTTATACTCACAGTCAAACCAGGCCTTTCTTGCTTCCCTCTCAAGGAATTATTTTGAAAGAAGTCACATCCACGCTCACTGTAGACCTTCTGAAACGATGAATGGGTTAGAATGTTTGAATATTATCAACCACACTAATTGCTCCATGATCCTAAGGCCTTTCTGTAGTAGGCAACACTGGTCATGTGTAATATTGATAAAAAGTCTCCTGGATTTGTCCCATTTCCTAATTATCTGAACAAAGATAAAATATAATTTAAAAAGGGTCTCAAATATAATTGCATCCCTATGTGGAAAGAAAATGTCTTTATTTTTCTATAACTGACCCAATCCTTTAAAACTTCTTCATCCTTCCTGGTAATGAAGATAGAGTTAGAAGTGACTATAATTTAGTCCAATTGGGTAAGCTTAATTCAACCTAGTAATTATAACAACCTTTATAGATAACTATGTTTCTGACTGGGCAACCCAAGAAAATGGTCAGTCTTATGAAGTCCTACTCCCTACCCTTGCTCCTATCTGCGAAGGCATCTTGGTGTATAGGGCAATGTTGGCATGTAGCCTTGTGTCAGGTAGGGAATGAAAAGAGTTTCTCAATGTGCATGGTTCCCTCAGGATTTTTCCAAGTCCCAGGCTGCAGAGTGGCTGAACCAGCTGCTCCCTGGACTGGTGACACCTGAGAAGCTACCACAGCCATCAGACTCTCTCATTGTGATGCGCTGGTACTGTAGTACCAAAATTATCCATACAAGATGACCTCTTTACTCTTAACCAAGATCTGATGGCCCACAGTCATATTGGCATCCATTTCCCCTCACTGGGGCAAATATGGGTCACTGAGCACTGTGTTCATGCCACATGGAAGGAGCAACACTGTCCCAAGCTAACAAATCTTTCCCTTTCCTTCCCCTTCAGTGCCATATTGGAAGTTTCCAGGTTTGAGGATTCTCCTGAAAGGTAGCAGCATGTTTGTAAAAGCACACCCCTAGTATGCCAGTAAAAGTACACCACTAGTTCCTGTGTCCTAAGGCTCCCCGTGAAAACTCATCCTTCCTGTGGAACCCACCAGTGATTGTGGTATAGATAGACAGTACTTATGAATGAGAACACCGATTTATTGCCACTTTTTTTTCTCTCTGTGTCTTCACTTTCTCTTGCCCATAATCTCTGGAGACCATAAGGGGCAGGTTTTAGTTCTAGCACATATTCTTTTTACTCCATAGTTATCAGCCTCATGGTGAGGAGTCCTAGCCAGAAAGAACATAATTTCTATACTACAGAAAATACTTTATGGTCTGGATTCTGAAGGCTTGATTTGATTTACTAAAGAAATTTACAAAATTACATCTCACCTCAAAAGACTCGTTTTCTTGATGTGTTCTCAAATGAAAATCTAAGTGGACAGTAAATTCTTAACAAAGACCTTCTTGTTCTGGAGATTATGTACTATTCCCCTGCAATACAAAAACTCAAACCACCATTGGGTTGGAAGACTCAGAGAAAGTAAGTGATAAGATACAGCAATACATCTGAAAATACTTTTTGAAGATTATCCACATTATACTTTGGACCAAGATTTTTAGATACATAAAAGTGTTCTAAGGTTTGGGCACCTGGGTGGCTCAGTTGGTTAAGTGACTGCCTTCGGCTCAGGTCATGATCCTGGAGTCCCTGGATCGAGTCCCACATCGGGCTCCCTGCTCCGCAGGGAGCCTGCTTCTGCCTCTGACCCTCCCCCCTCTCATGTGCTCTCTCTTTCGCATTCTCTCTGTCTCAAATAAATAAATAAAATCTTAAAAAAAAAAGTGTTGTAAGGTTTGATATAATGACTTTATCTTCTTCACAACACCTTCTAGGTTGAAGACAGTTGTGAAACACATGATCAATCACCCTGTAATGGACAGTAGACATCTGGAAATTCTTTTGTAAAGCTGCGCTGTGCCTCCCAGAAAGAGACAGTGAAACCCTAATGATTGAGAGAGACTTATTTAAAGCTCAGGAAAACAACTGGACTGCTCAAAAGAATGAAGCATGGTTATCTGCACTTTCAAATAAATGATTACATGAGATGGTCACATGAAAGGGACTATGGGCAAGTTGCAGCAAGAGTTCTTAGAAAGCACTTGGTAGTCAGTGTTGGCTTCTCTCCATTACCCTGTTCTTTCAAATGCCCAACAAGAGGGTAAGTCATGAAGTTGAACAGTGGCAGGTAGAAAGAAGGAATTGTAGCAGATATTCAGGACCCATAGATACAAAACTTGGGTAGAGCGAAGAGGAAACTCTTTTCAGTGATGTTGCTAAAGCCTCTAGACCATTGGAGTGTAGCTACCTGCTTCCTGAGGAAATCAATTTACAAAAATTTGATATTGCAGAGAGGTACTGTCTCTGTATTAGCAGGGGGCTGGGGGTAGGGTATAAAAAGAGATACCAAAGTAATGTCCTAGGATTCATAGGCATTCAGAAGATCTGATGAAGATCTCTTGTGTTTCTGATAGGAGAAACCCTACTTGCCTTTTACTCATTTTTCTAGAAAGTTGTTTGGCATTTAATACAATTACATGAATATCTTTTCTCTCTTCTCAAACAAATCAGGATACTACGAAGTTACATTTATGGTCATAATTTATTTCATTGGTCTAAGTGGGCTCTGAGTCTCACTAGTTCATAGTCAATATTGGCTGAATTTGGCTTCCCCTGTACTTCTCAGAGCCCCTGGTTGGCTGTATGCTCACAGGAAATAGGAAAATGATGCAATGGAAACAGTCTTTGCCTGGATGAGGAGAATTAAACTGCATATCTTCAAAACTAGAGGAAACAAAAGTCCAGTTATCCTCCCCCTTGTTTCCATTCATTGTGAACCTAAGAATAAGAACCCTTCTTTGACAGTTATGAACACAGTCATTCATAAAGTAGAGCTTCATGAACAAACCTGTTCTGGAGCATCTAGGAACTGGACAATATTAAGTGTATAGAACTATTTCAAAGAAACCTAGATTCTCCTCCCCTCTCCAAAGTGAAAATATTAGTAATACATTTGATAATTGAATTAGCCAAATATCAATGTCCTTGGAAAAATGCATATAATATATCTCAAACATTTGGGTAATTTTTCCTAGGGCAAATAATTATTATCATTAAAAATCATTTAAAATCTAAAATCACTTTTTGCATTTATTCATCAAACACTTATTGAGCAACTACTATGTGTCAGACATTCCTCTACGTTTGAAGGATTCAACAATTAACAAAACATAAAACTCCATGCCCTGTTAACATTGATGGTGTTCCTTCATGATTGCTGCTAGAAGGCTTACAGAAATATTTCTACTCCACTTCAAGCAACTGTATAAGATAGTTTCTTAACTAATCTCACTTGTGGCTTCCTCTGGTTTTCCCAACTTTATTTTCTTTTTTGTTACATTTTTATTACTTATTCACAATTTATTTTGTTATTCATAAACCATTGAAAATTCTCTCTTGGGAAAAAAAATGAGAGGCAAATCAAATTTAAAATTCTCTTTCCTAAGGCATTTTTCATGTGCTTCAAATCTGCAGTTTGGATGTCTACTCTTTGGTGCTCCATAAGCATGTGAAGTTACAAACACAACATCAACCATCCTTTTCCAAAATCCTTATATTCCCTGTTATGTTAAAGCCACCAACCTCTACCAAACTGACCAATACAGAAACCTATATATCACCCTCAAATTCTTCCTTTTCTTTGTCCGACCTATACTATGAGTTCTACACTTGATATTTCTTTTAAATCTATCCTTTTTTATTTAGTTATTACTGGCACTATCTTTTTTAAAGACTCTCAATCCTGGTTATATAGATTCCTACATTATGCTGTTCACTTCTTTTCATACTTTATATTTTTCTAAAGATTTTATTTATTTATTTCAGACAGAGGAAGAAAGAGAGAGACTGAGTGAGCACAAGCATGAGCAGGGTGAGAGGCAGAGGGAGAAACAGACACACTGCTGAGCAGGGAGCCCGATGTGGGGCTCGATCCTACCCTGGGATCATGACCTCAGCCGAAGGCAAACACTTAACCAACTGAGCCACCCAGGTGCTCCTTCTTTTCATTCTTTAAAAATATAAGTCCTTTAAAATATATTTACAAATTTCATCAAGTCATTTTACAGCTCATTATTTCATTGAACATATCCTGCCCCTCTACCATAAGACCTCATCTTTCTCTCCAGTGAAGTTATATGTAAATGTTTTAAGCTTGATGCATTATTTACAGGTGCAAATTTAAACATGTTTAAACTTTTATTACCAACATTTTAATTAAAATCTCACTATAAATTCATTAGAGAAGTGAGGGATTCAGAGAAAAGGTGGTAATAGAAGATTTTTTTTTAACTTATCAATACATGAATCATGGTACCTTCCTTTAAAAAAAAATTATTGTAGCTAAATTAGATCAAGTTCCACTGGTGATAGTCAAGTGTAATAAATCACCTTTAAATCAGTTTTTACTTTCATATAAAAGCTAAAAATAGAATTATAAAAATCAATATGTTAGGAAAAAAAGATAAAAATCAAGAAAACAGAATAATAGATATGTAAGATTATGTCCGATGGAGTAACTGAGAAGAAATACTTTTAAAAGAAGAGGAAAAAGCCATAAAGGAAGCAATTCAGGATTAAAGAAATAGACATTATCTTACATTCTTTTTTGTTCTTTTACACATTCAACCATAGTTTTGACACCTCAAAGTTGTTTAACTGAATATAGTTGGCATGCACTCAATTTTGTGATTCATCTCACAAATTTCATATATTTAAAATTATGAAGTTATTACTTAATGTAATTTTCACACTTAAGCCATATTTGAGAATCAAATATTTTAAATATAATACCTACATCTAACAATTGTTGAGAGTGACAGATTTTTGTGTACTTTTGATTTTTATTTGTGGGGTGCCTAGGTGGCTTAAGTTAAGCATTGGACTCTTGATTTTGGCTCAGGTCATGATCTCAGGGTTGTGAGATCGAGCCTCACATCAGGCTCTGTGCTCAGCGGAGAGTCTGCTTCTCTCTCTCTCTCTCCTCTCTCTGCCCTTCTGGCTGCTCGTG